TAAAAAGCATACCAACATACATGTTGCTGAGAATCCTGAATATATGTACATAATTGTATATGTATGCCAGAGCTAAGAACAAACAAACTGTAGATGATATCTGTAATTTTTTTTCCACCTAAACATTGTTAAACACTTTGGACACTGGAATGTCTTGACTTGATGGCTCTGCTTATGTTGAGCAAGGTTCTTTCGAGCCTTGAAAGTTTTTCCACAGACACCACAGCAATGATTGCCTTCAAAGCCTTGTCTGTTGTAACTATTTCCAGATAGCACAGAAGTATAATACAACACTGTAAAGGAAATTATTATTAATTAGTTTTTTGTAACTGGTTTGGTTAAAAAAATTACCTAGATTTTTTAAAATGTGAAAATATTAAAGAATGGAGATTACTTTTTCAGATAATACTGTACCATGTACTAGTGTAACTACTTCCAACAAACCAGAACCTTTCTCTAAGTTATCACATTATAACAGTGTACACAATAATCAAATAAACAACAATTAACTTACAGCAGAAATTACACTTTCTTAGTCTGATGTCCAGCCATGGAAAAGAAGTAGGCCAAAACAACAGATCAAATACATAATTATAAAGTCAACTGTGAACAATAAGTGATTAAAACATATGTATAGGTATCACTGGTAGTAGTTTTACAATAATGAGTTCAGATTATATTTGGTACTCTTTCTTAAAACTACTACTTAAAACACAGCTTAGCGACAACATGTTCCATAAGAAGTTCCTGCTCTGATACACTATATTTATCAAGTGTCCTTCATTAAGCTATTTCACAATCACTAACTAATACACTGAATGATAAAAGCAAATCAGATAGGCTGATCACATATCCTCAACACATGAGAGCAGATATAGAAATTATCATACAAACTACTACTACTTCTTACAATTAAAAAATTACGTAACAATGCATATTCATCACTTATAACACCTTGTTGAACTCACTTTTAAAACTGACGTTTTTCTGTCTGAAGTAATTCAACAACAACAATTTTGACTGTTCATATTTATAGGAATACTGTATATATAACTATATGATATATGTTTACATAATGTAACATAACAAATTCACTTCTACAAATATATACACAATATTTTTATTTTATTCTCGCCTTTAAGATGAAAATGAGTTGATAAAAGTAAAGCAGTAACCTTTGAACACAATCTACCTGTATAGTAAAAGGTGCATTAAAATCACATTATAATGAATATTTTAAATAAGACTCAACTTATTAAAATGACAAGAATAGTGTATCTTTAAATGATCTTTTCAAATGAATGTCTTGTCACATAAATCACATATATATATATTCTGGTTGATGAGGGTAATGTCACTTCATGTTGTTTCAGTGAAGTCGTTCATGTAAAAGAAGTTTGATATACCATACATACACAAATATCATCATTTTCCTTATGATAACAGTATCCTTGTTGAATTTCTAAAGAATAAATTAAAAACTGTGCAAATTTATGTTGAAGTAATGAAGTATACATAAGCTTAATGTTAATAAATGTGTTTATCACACTTTATGCTATATAATTGTGTGTGAATGTGAGCACTTTCTGAGAAAGTGAAGCAAGTACACATAAACCTTTTCTAACCTGTATTATTGTAAAGTAAAAACATATGTCAAGAAACCAAAATGATGGGTATCACAACAATGCTTTTTATACAAGATTACAGAAAACCAAACAAAAAAAAAGCATACATGAAAATCAGAATATTAAATCGATACTTAGCATCTCAACACTAAAAAAATATCAAATGTCCAAAACTGTAGCTTCTCCACAACAGGTGAGCATGTTTTCATGTCACTAATGAAGTATAAGATGAAGTGTTTGTAAATGCATAAAAGAAAATTTTCCTTATATGGGAACTGAATATACACAACTGTCTTTAAACACTTATAGCCTCCTCTATATTTTTACTGTTGCTTCTTCAAGAGATTACAACATGTTTGATGTACAAGTGTCAATTCAAATATATTCAAAATCAAGAGTTTAATACAAATCAAAGATATGAAAAAGAATGATGGATGTTTTGAATGAAATGTAAGATAAAAATATACATTCATGCCAAATTATCTCAAGATATTTAATTAACTAAAATCAGCCATGAAAGCAATGAAACAGAAATTCAGGTAATGCTTAAATTGTGTGCAAGCTACTGAATTGGAAAAAAACTAACATGTGTAAATGTAAACATTTATTTTACATTTATTCATAAAAGAATAGTAAAAACATTCAAATTATTACAATAGTGATTACCACTTTTATTCATTAAGAGAAAAAAAAGGAAATAGTTTAAAACTGATGGAAGAAAAGCAACAACAAAAATACTGGATATAAAATTAATCCACGTGTTGGAACAAAAACAAGAAGCTCATCACATTTGCTATGAAAAAGATTCAAGCAAGTTAATTTAATTTGCAAGATTTAAACACCAATTTTGTGTGAGTTCCTGAAGCATAAATTTATTAGTTTAACTTAGATCAATAAACAAGTTTTAGTAAAATACTTTCATCAACAATTTGAAATATAGTTTTTTGTTAATTTCAAAAATTCAAATAAATGAAAATAAATCTGTGACAAATTTACATAACACATTCAAGATACACATCACATGTAATTATTAAAGACCTAAACAAATCTCACTTATCTGTTTTTGTTGAATACAAATGTCTTTCACAGCCATTTACTAATGAAACCATGTATTCAGCTAATAGGTTGACAGTTGGCACAAAAACAAATTATATAAAATATATATAACCTTTAATGCTGACAATTGTATACAATAATGTAACATGTAATAGTTAAGATATACCAGGAAGTTTTTTTCTAAACACAAGATTACTACAAGTGTGAAGATTTTGATATGATCATAAATGAAGAACAGTAAAATTTTAAGCCTTATTAAGACAGAAATTTTTGAAATCTTAATATGAAAATAAATAAAAACAAAATAGAAACTTTATATGGTAGAAATGAATTATAATTTCATATTCAATTAATGACAAAATAATTAAGTATATAAAGTTGCTTTCAAACAATAATTACATAAAATGCCATATTTTTTAAAAGCTTTAAGCATAATATTGCTTTAATTATATAATATTTTGTTATACAGGTTAAAAAGTGTACAACATTTTATGAAATAATAAATGATAGGCACCATTAAATAATACAAAAATTCTCTGTATTCATAGTTTTCAAAACTTAAATCTTATCACAAAGAACTAAACTAAATAAGGAACATAACTAGTCAAATTCATATAAAACTAGTATGAATAGCATCAGCATTTAGTTTAACTTGAATAGTTAATTTATTTTAGTAAAGTTATGTTTTCTATCATGTCTAGATATCACATATAGAGTGATCTTCCTGAGCACATCAATGAAGAATTATTTATTACAGTTTTAAGCAGGGTTTTGAGAAAGAAAATATACTTGTTTTTTATACATGCAGAACAGAATAATTGGAGGCATATGTTCAAAATAGCCAAGTACTATTTGCAATAAACTTTTTTTCAGATATTTGTACAAAGCTACACAAAAGGGCTATCTGCACTAGCTGTCCCTACTTTTTGAAGGATTAGACTAGAGAAAGGGAAGCTAGTGAAAAACACCCACCACCAACTCTTAGGTTACTCTAATTAAATAATGGGATTTGACCATCACTCCCATAACACATCCACATCTCACAAGTACATAGCATGATTGTATAACAACAGGGTGAAAATCATGAACCCCCAGATTCACAGTCTGGTATATTCAACACTAGGTCATCCCTTGCATACTTGCAACAGTGCCCAAGTTCTTTAAACATTATATTTTACTTTTTCACTTCATAAACATTCCCTAATATGTGTAGCAATCAACTACATGCTATCATATTCCCCAAACATTTGTAGTAATTTTGCACCTGTACACAGTATTTATCAACATACAAAACAGTACAATTAAACAAATCTTTCACATGCAGTATCCTGCCAAGTTCTTTTAAAATGACGAGCACGATGAAGTTTAAGATGGTCTTTTCTAAAGAAAGACTTTCCACATATATCACAAACATATCCAGCCTGGTGAGGAAAGTGTCGTTCCATGTGCCGTTTTAAGGAGTCTCCTCTGGAAAATGTACTTTGACATATCGTACAAGTGTGTGTCTGGCTAATTTTCTTATGTTTAGCAATTCTTGGTAATATTTCTATCAAAAGAGAACATTCATTATCAGATTACATTACAACATTACTTTAAAAAAAAAGTATAAATAATAATAAATCAGTCTTGCATAACTTAAATACTATTTCACCCAAATAAGTATTAAAAATCTACAAAGTTTTATAAAATAAGTAGAAACTTTATGAACTGAACAACATTACACAGACCCTCACCTTACAATATTTAACCAAGGTTCAAAATTTGATATCTGCTCATTATCAGTTACAGTTGCCTTTGAAATACACATATGTTACAAAATACATCAGAATCCATTTGTATATAAAAACACTGTGCCTTAGAATAATTCTAACCAAGAAGAAAAAAAAGAGAAAATGTAGATTCTTCACAGTTTCTAAAATACTGAATGTTCTGTTTCTAGATTCAATGACAAGCTTCAGGAAAATATGTGGTAAAAGGTCAAGTTTTATTTTTGCTCTAAGAAAAATTAATCACTTGTAAACAAAATTTGAAAAAACAGATTAAAAAAAGGTATTATTTCTTACTTTCATCCAACATAAGAAAATATTTTCAAAAAAGAGAAATGTTTGTAAGTAATAGTAACATTTTTTGGATAAATTAATATTTAACTAAATAAGATTTACACTGTCTACAGTATTTTATTTTATTAGTGCAAATGTATAAGTTCATTTTCGTACAAATATTTTACATGTAGCAAAATCTATATATTTATTATAACTAACTCTTTAAAAGAAATGAAAATTATTTAAAATTTTTTATACAAAATTTATTATTCTTACTCTTAACTCATCCATACATTACATATACACAGAAATTCTTATTTTAATGATGCACACAAACATCAAAGAAATAGTGTATTAAAAATCTACCCTCTCTGATCTTTTGGGTAAGTTTTTAAGATTTCTTTTAAGATCTAGTATGATGACGTGCTTGTATTCACTCACCCTGTATGTCTAAAAAGGGGAAAAAATTAACTAAACATAAAACAAGTTTCAAATCAGTGCAACTTGTAACACAGAATTCATTTAAACATAAATCATACAAAATTACATTTTCAAGAGTCAAAAGACAATTTGCCTTCAATAGTTTATAACAAGTGACTAGTTGTTTTAGCTGTTAAATTTATATTACTTAAGTATTGCATTTTTAAAAGCTGATTTTTTGTAAACAACAAGTTCCCTTTATGTGTAACACGATGCTTGTTGTTTCCCCTCAAATAGTTAGTAGGAAACTGAATATCCTCAAAAAATTATGCAGAATGGAAAAAAAACAAATTGTGACATGTTATCCAGTTTAACTTTTTAGCACTCTTATAATCAAGATTCATTACTTGAAAATTTAATTATACTATTTCTAATAAGCACCATTAATGAGATCTAACTAATAGGTATTTTGGTCATACTATCTTTATCAAATACTACTACTACGATCCTTTTGTATAATTGGCTAATATTCTAATGTAACTCTACCACATATATGAGTCTAATGGTAACTAGCCAACACTTTAATCATTCTATCTCAAAAAACTTATCTGGGTCTAACATTTACTGACCAACATTTTGGCCACTCTCACTTTACAAAAGACCACTTTTTGTACAAATGCTAATAAACCAAATTTTAGCTTGCTATCTTCCCTTGGAACTACTTTTTGATCTTCAAAAAATCTTTTTTTTTACCTGTAAAATTAAATGAAAAACTATAGGATATTCTTTGGCAGTTTTAGGATACTTAAGAAAAGAAAATGCAAACATAAAATCAAAATATATTATTCTATTAATAAGGATTTAAGTTTATAGTTGCACTGAAAAGTAACACCAAACCACTAAAATTTTAACTTTGATTAGCACACTTCTCCCCTTATCATACATACAAATATACATGGATACGTGATTGTAATTAAACATTTAGAATACCTGAAATAGTCATTTTTATCCTACAACAGATCAAATGTAGACATTTTCATAAATCTATAAAATATTTGCAAACTTCCTGCATCATTTTCAATCCTCTAACCTTTCTTAAATATACTAAATGGTTTCCTAATCTTCTGTATTCTATTCAGAGTTCTGTGCCATTCTCATATTCTGTAAAAGTTTTGTATTATGATTCTATGAAGTTGTGCTATATTTAAAATTATAACAGTTTCTTTACAGTATTCCCAGTATTTTCAGCCTATCTTTACTCAGTTTGTAACTTGTAACCCATACAATTATGTGACTTTCCATACCATATTCAAAGATATATAATCTTACTTAAAAATTCTATAAACAGTTTGTACAACATTCTCATTTCTTGTAAAGTTTCTGTAATATACTCGTCAGTTCTGTAAAATACCTGATACAAGTGTACTTATATTCTGTAAATCTTCCGTACTACAGCTGTATACGTGTGCAACTAACAGTTTTGTAAGTTTTCTGTACTCTATTCCTGATACCACAAATATTATATATTATAAAGCTATACAAGAAAGTCTGTAAAACTGTGCTAATTTCATAGTTTTAGAAACGTTTTTTCTCTATTTACATTTCTTAAACCTGTCTGCTGTATGCTCAGTTCCTTAATAAGCTTGTGCTATATATATATATTCTAGGATTGTAAACTTTTAAGTTACACAATTCTATTAACTTTTTATAATGTATTCAGTTCTGAAAAACCAGTTATTTATTAAAACCCTGATATTATGTATTCAAGAGGTCTGTAATTTTGTTAATCTTCATTCTGAATATGTAAGTTCACTGGATTGATTTTAAAATCAGTGAAGCTTTTGATCCACATTCAGAGATCTACACAACTAAACCACATTAAATTCCATTAACTTTCAGCATGTTAAAAAACAATAAAAACTTACAACTTAGTCCAGCAGTAATACCAACCATTCACTAAAATATAACAACACAAATTCATGTATCTTTCCAAAAAATTCTGTAAATACCTGTTTCACTAATGACACTTACTCTTTGCAAAGTAAACCTGTCCAACAATTACAATAAATCCTTTCAGAACGTGAGCTTGTACTTAAGTATCAAATTCCAAGATTTTTACTCTTTTTGCTACTTAAAAGTTTCTTAGGAGATTACAACTCTCAAACAGTACTTTAAACACAGACCCAATGTATCTGAAAATGATTAAAAAATAAATTTAAAAGAAAACGGAACTACTGGAATAAAGTACATGGAATCCTGTATAGAAATATATGAAGATGTAACGTCTTACAAATACATTTTTTTAAATTTTATTGCAGAATATACACGTACATGTGTAAGTTATCTTCATATTCAAGCTACATACCTTGAAGTAATGAGCAAAAATAAAATAATATATCATAAAATTTTACTAATATACATCAACTGCAAAGGTTTATTTGTCAAGTGCTTGTTTGTGTACAGTGAGCAAATGAAAAAGTAATGCATCTCTGTAATTATATTTCTTGTGACAAAAACTACAAGAATGAAACTTTGCTTGCTCAGTCCATTCTTTACTCTGACTGCTACTAGTGCCTAACTGTGTGTTGTCTAGGGCTGATCTTGCAATGTGTACATCAACTTGAGACTTTCTTGTATTCATAAGTAACAGAAATCGTTGTAGAGCACTAGTTGCCCAAAGTTCTGAAAATAACAACAATGCTTTAGGTTAAAACAAGCACAAAATGTTAAATGAAATGGAAACACTACACATTTTTTTATAAATTAGAAAAATACCTTTAAACCAAAGGGTAAAATTCAGCAACAATATATACTTTTATATAACAATTTATACTTTTTCTGAAGGAATAAAAGTAAAACTATATTACATCTCTTATATTATTTATGTACTTCAACTTACACTTGGAAGGTTTCGGATTATAATTAAGAGTAGCGAAGACAACACTAAACAGTACCTACTACACTTTCTTGAACTTAGATATGCATGTTCAGCAGAATATAAAATGATTATTAAAAACAAAAGGTGTTGAAAATCATAGTTGATAAATAAAAAAAAAGTGTAACTTTTTCTTTTAAACACTGTCATTTGTTCATGATCTACTCCAACAGAAATACAAAACAAAGTATTTAAGTTTAAATGAAATGCACTATTGACAATTCTTATTGTGAAAAGATATGTTTATTGAAAAAACAACTGGTACAATTTATGTTCACAGTGTATCTACACTTACAGATGTAGATATTGTATCAAGTTTTCTGACAGAACTACAAAACAATAGATATAAAATACATGCTTTGCATAATATATCTTGGTACAAAACATACTTTACAGCTGAAACTATATTTTTTCCTATTATATAAGCTTCTTAAATTTTGGGTTTGTATGTGCTTTGATCCCACTAAAAACTATTATATTATGAAACATACATTTGTCTGACCCTGTAAGAAATCTCATGAAAGATTATCACCCTACAAAACAAATTGTGGAAGACAAACTAGCTAATCAAGATCAATATAGCTTCCTGGACAAAAATATTAACAATTCACTCATGATTAATATTTTCAATAGAAAATATACGAGCTGAGAAAAAATGTAAGTTACTGTATATAACATGCAAAAGCTTGTCAAATATACTTTGATTTCATCAATAAATTATAAATGTATAAAAAAAAAAAAGAGTTTAAAAAATAAGTCTGTTGCTATATCTTTACATACGGTTACTAATTTTTCTTCTTAGTTTCTATGAAAGGCTCTTTATAGAATTAAACAAGCTATGAGCATTTTACATGGCCAGACAAAATACCAAGTAGAATAAATCGTTCCAAAATTTATTTAAATTAAACTAACCAAAGTATATTTTTGAAAAAAATCGTAGAAACTTGATCTATTCAAAGAAAATTCAGCTGTTGTTTATTTGCAATATAAGAAAAAATACAAAAAATGTTTGATACATTTCACTTACAAGTTTAATTCTGTACATATACTGATAAATGTGAAACATTACACAACTTTGAACATGAAATTTATGTAACAACATTATTAATATATGTCAATACTGTAGAACAAAATACAAATAGTTAATTACAGTTGGGATATACATATAAAATAAAAATCAACAATCCAATTAAAATTAATCTAAGTACAAAATGGAAGTATAATTCAAGTTTTTTTTTTCTGGACTAATATTAAAAATATATATCAGTGTTTAAATGTTACTTCATACCATTCTGATTTTTATGATCTTGGTATTTTTTATCTTTTTTTTAAAAAAAAAGGATTTGTAATATTTCACAAAATACATCTAATCCAATATTTGAGGTATGGAGCATTCCATACAGTGAAAATAGTTAGTAAATCATGCTGATACATTACAACATCTATGAAATAACCAAAAAAATTACAAAACATTTTGATGCAATTTTCAAAAACACAGGTGTTATCCTGTACAGACTTAGACACAACTAGTAGCAGGTACTATCACAATGATTTGGGAAGTAATACAAAAAGTACAGAGAAAAATATGTTAAAATTAAAATCATTTCCATGCTTTAATCTTACAACAAGAGAGATATTTCAGGCTTTCAGAACTCTCGGTTCTACTCTGAAAATATATATGTTGTTCTCATATAACATTACTACCATATCTTGTGAAATATAAAAAGAACTTGCTCATGAGTCAACAAAAATTTCGTGCACATTTCTAAAATTACAGATTTCCAGTAAGATGAACAAGAGGAAGCATTCCTCTCAAGCTAGGAAGAAAAGCTTGACATACAGAAAACTCTACACATGTGTAAGTTAAAGAGCTTTACAGAGGTTTGAATCAGACATCATATAAATTATTTTCATCAAAAGTACACAGTCCTTGGAGCCATTTATTTATCAACTTGTAGTATATGTGTAGCATTTTCAAGACACTAAACAGAGACATATCTGTTGTATGAGAATCTCCTCCGTTAAAATAGCACCTGTCTCAACGTCAAGCAAGCAATGAATTTAACACAGTTCCAAAGTCTAGTAACCAGTACATCTGATACAGTCTCAAAGTTAAGCAAGCAGTACATCTAATACAGTCTTAAAGTCTAGTAAGTAGTACATCTAATACAGTCCCAAAGTCAAGTAAGTAGTACATCTAATACAGTCCCAAAGTCAAGTAAGTAGTACATCTAATACAGTCTTAAAGTCTAGTAAGTAGTACAGAGACAAACACAGAGTTTGCAAAAAGACAGTATATGTGCAAAAATAAACCATTTGTAGAAAGTGGTAAACATGAAAGAAAGAAATAGAAAATACATAAGATGACAATAAAATCTTAAGTACAAAAACATTTTCAAGAGCAACAGTCAAGGATATGTCCTTTTGTGCACATACAAGAAATCTCCAAGCTGTGTTTACAAAATTAGGTAATAAAAATATAAAAAAAAAGACTCTTACAAACAAAGTATTGCATACTGTCTGTGAAAAGTATCATAGAAAAAGCTCATATAAAACAAAATATAAAAGCCCAATACAGAGATTAATGTGGTTCAACTGCGTCTCACATGTAAACCATCATGTTACAATCCTGCACCATTAGGAGTGCAACATACCCTCTATTCAATTCTACCAAACTATCACCTCGAGTTTTGGTAGAAAATGGAAGCACCAGCTTTTAGTGGGGAGGAAGGGTGGGAAGTATGAATGGAGATAAGTACCTATCAGAAATACATTTTCAATATAGGGAAATTATAACTTCCGATACATTAACTTACTTCCAACGTACGACGAGAGTGAAATGCGGGTAAAAGGTAAAGTGCCTGATCAAAGTAAAGACATCAGGAATTAAGGGAAGGAGGAGAATAGGAAGACAAATAAAACAACTGAATCAAAAGCCAAAATCCAATTAGTAAGGGAGGAAGGAAAAGTCACAAACAGAGGAGCGGTGCCAGGGTACGAAACTGTGGGAAATGGAACCAACAGAAAGAGCCCTGAAGGCAATTAACGCTATTGCCATGGGTATCCTTTACTGTGCATGACACAAGGTTTTAGTGTATTACATTCAAACTTTTATAAAACCACTTTTTGTTCATGTTATACCAATTAGTATAGCATAAAATCTTAGCTAATAATCCATATTTTAATAGTACACAAGTTTTAAGTCCTTAATTCTACAAGGCAATATTTAAAATAATCCTGAATTTCCCCTAGTGTGACACACATGACACATTTTCTCTAGGTATCTTCTCTGTTTTATCCACCATCCCTCCAGTAACTACAAAATATAATATAAATTACTCACTATAAAATTGTCATTGCTGAGACAAACTATAATTTTTATAGCCTTCAGTTTTGTTTGGTTACATAGCTATCAAATAGAAAATTGGACCCTTCCTGCCACAAGCCCCTCTCACATCCTCTCTTTCAGGATTTGTTAACAGTTCTTTCTTACGTTTAATTATATATTACCTATAAGCAATAGAAAGCCAAGGTTTTCATCTATCAAATGATGTATTATATTACATTGTGTTATGAACAGATAATCATCAATTTTACTTGTAGTACAGGCTTCGTTCCCACGGGAAAGGTAAGGACTAGCTTGGATGAATTTGTAAAGACTCTTGTCACATAGTTAGAAAGCCAGAAAAATTGTGATTGTTAAAGAAAATTGTCTGCTTTTTGCAGGTTATTAGTCTATGTTCTTTGGTGTATTATTTCATCAAATAAAAATTATTTAATGCACTACTACCATTAGTATAAAAAAGTAGGGTTAAGTGTTATTGATAGTCAATGGAAAAAAAAAAGAATACTTGGGTAAGTACTTTATTTATTGTTTTTCATGTATATTCTATATTTATTATTATAAAAGTAACTAAAATGTATAAATACAGATCTCTTTAGGTTAGTTAAGGTTAGATTATGTAAAATAAACAATAATAATAATAATATAATCCAAATATTTCACAAGGCACACATGTGAGCAACTCGTGGGTAAAGTAATTCGACAGCATAACATTAGCTGCACATTTCCCAAGTGATTTACAACTTATAATGGCACAAATAGCAGTCAGACACAGTTCAAAGGGCAATAAAACAATAAAATTTAATTATAAATAGAT